ATAAAAAAAAAAATTTTGAATTTACTTACTTGTAGCCAGAGTTAGAGGCGGTCGGATACTTATGACCGCTACTGTACCATAGTAATAGAAGGCAGCAGCATAATTTTAAGGTAGATTTGCATGATCCAAACCTATAATTAAAAACATTAAAGTTATCATTTATTAACCAGTCATAAGAGTAATTATTAATATTTCTCAGATAAGGCTTTGTTATTATAAATCAGTTGACACTTATATTCATTCATTAGTAACTAACAAATATTATATATATAAAAAGTTGGTATTCAAAATTGAGTCATAAAAAAAATAGCACTGGCTACGCTGGTTATTCTAGGTAGCTTAAATGGGGCTGGTAATGAGTGATGTTGATACACCACCATTATAGTAATCGACTCTTTAGTGACGAATACTATGGTAAATTTTTAAAACATGTCAGAATATCAATAGATGCATATCTGAAAGATGGTGAACTATGCTTTATAGAATTTGAATTTGAGTGGTCATATTCTTCCTCTCTTTCTTTTACTTAGTAAAAATACTAAATCAATTTGTTATTTTATAATAAATAATAATAGGTATTTAAAAGAATGGAAGAACTGGAAGGACTTCTTCGATAATGTTAATATTACTGAAAATGAAATGAAGAATTTTTTCGTATCAACCTCGCTGATATACTACTGATATACTTTGGCAGCACTCACTATATAATATCCTAAATAATTACACAGTCACATATGATAATTATATTTTAGCTATAAAGTAATTTGTAATAATAAAAGTTTAATTATCTGAACTGGATAATTATAATGTAACTTTACGAGTAATCGCTGATAATCTGTGAAGTTACTATTAAAAATTCAGATCTTCTTTAGAAAGTAATTAACCGTGGGAATTACTCACATTTAACCTTTTATTAAACAGACGATTCTGAAAATTTCTCAATTACGTTAATAATAAAATAAAGAATCAGTCTAGCAGATTCATTAAATAAGATGGATTTTGATAAAGATGTAGAAGATAAGAAGAATGGTATTGAGGAAAATGAGGAAGAAAATAAGGATGATAACAAAGATGAAGAAGAAATAGATACAGAATGATGATAAAAAAAATATATATATTTTTAATAAATAAAAAAATCAAAGATCCTAAAATATATTTTTTAATTAAAACTAGGAAAACGGAAACTGTTGGAGTGTCTGAAGCTTTTATTCAATGTATTACATATAGTACAGAAAAAATAAAATGTATCACAAAAACTAAATGTATCACAAAAAAAAAGATGCATGACCGAAAATTTAGAAAAAGATAATCAACAAATTTCATGTTGAGGGAGGAATCAGAGAGATTAAACGTTTCTCTTCGGTTATTCTTTCATGCAACCTCTTACAAGTTTTAACACGCAGGAGCCTTTTAAGCGAAAATGGGCTAAAAAGTATATTTTCGAGAGCACAGACATAAGATATTGCGATAAACGAGAGGCCAGCAGCAAACTTTTTATTTCTTAGATCAATAACAGCTTTTTCTAATGTTAGACCCTGACTTTTACCCAATAAAAAATTTGATATAAAAATTCCATAAAAATATTAAGTTTTATAACGTATAACTTTTATGAAAAATCAG